TCCCGGTCTTTGAAACTCTTCCTAGCCAAAGAAAGATAATGTTTTCTCTGTTTAACCACTCCTTTTAGCAGGATTTTTTGCTGTTTTCCTGTGGTTTCTCAACCATTTTTCCCCTACAGCATCTGAGCATGAGCCTGCGATAATTTTGGGTGCAGTAATGGACTGGATTGCCTCAACTTTGCATACGAAATGGCTTCTTAGAGGAACATATTTTAAAAATTATCCCAGGGAAGCATGCCCCTGGACCTCCCAGAGGCTCGTTTGTGGGTGCGGCTATGCCAGGATTGGAAAGGCAATGCAAACGTCTCGCCCAGCATAAAACAATACTATTATTAATTGGTTCTGCTTTCCTTTAGGACCAGGTACTCAGCATGTAACAATAGTGATATTTATTTTTATTCTTATCTTTTTTGGCTTGAAATTGCTGTTTCTTGAAAAATAATTATCTGTATGACCAAGTTTCAGGGGCACCCAACGAGAATATAGTTAAACGTACCATTGTAGAACATATTTTAGTATTTAAACGGTAGATGTAGGCATATTATTATCCCCTAAAGATTTTTCATCTGTTCCCATTTCCTAGATGAAAGTCTAGTGATACGAAAATTAGAGGGATCAAAACATAACTTTTCAAAAAATTTCAGCCAGAAAAAAGGCTCCCAAAAATTCTAGGTGACCTTTTTTAGGGTGAAAATCCATAAAAATGGGCAATTATAACATTTTTTAGATGTTTGAAAATCTTAGGAGAAGCAGGCAGCAAGAAGTTTTACAACAAATGTTCCTAAAATTCTAGATCTCATAATCGTCTTCCGAAAAGATGTTTTCCAAAAATTGACATTGGGTGCCCCTGAAGTTTCTATTTTAAACAAGACAAGAATGTTTTTCTATTCTTATCTGTATACTAACAATTTCTAATATGCTGTACAATAATTTACTCCCTGACACTTGTTATTGGCCAACATCTTGTAACTTAATTGCAATGTTATGCAAGACTGCTATATAAGGACTTCAATGATTTTTCATTTGCCTCCCTTGACACCTGATCACTTCCAGCAATAACTTCATAACGATCATTTCCTTTTAATGGGTATAAGCAGTAGTGCTGAACCATAAAGAGAAAATCAAATAGGATTGAAATTGCACCCAAACCAAACTTTGTAAAGTCTCCAAAGATAGAACTCCAGTCATCTGCAAATAAAAAAGGTAAAGACCTTAAATGAAGAGTTGATGGCTGCATGAAGACTCCCTGCAGTGGGTCTTCAAGAATAACTGATATCCAAGAACAAAGGTGCAGAGAGATCTTAAAGGGTACTCCAATAAGCGGAATAGGTATTGTCATGGGATAGGGTATTTATATTCCATTTTGTAGCCTTCTTGTAGCCACACCCTACCCTCCAAAGAAGGAAAAGCAGCATGGGAAACAAAGCTTTTCAGAATATTTATTTAAATTAAAAGGAGAACAACAACAAAACAAACAACTTCATCTGCATTTTTTCTTATCTTACTTAAATATAAAAGTGTAAATATTTGTCCTCTATATTTATGCAACTTCTATAAATTCAAAAGCTACTAGAAAAATACAATAATAGGAAATGCCTACAGACTAAAACCACCACAGGAAAAACTTAAGGTATCTGCCCCAGCAAATTGTGCACATATTTGTATCACTTTAATAGTTATATTATTGATGATGTCTATATATCACTACATTGACAGTATTTCTCAGTCCTTGAGGAACTAAAATATATCAAAATAAAGTATGCTATTTCACCCAAAAGGTTTTAATTTAATTACCCCCCAGAGTGGCGTGGAAAAAGAAAATCAAAATTTCAGAATCCTTAGAGTTATTGTTAACAAAAGAAATGTAACACAAATAAGGAAAAAAGACAGAATTAATAAAATTTTGACGTCAATAACTCAGCTGTACGGCAATTGTAACCTTTGGTTGAACACAATTCTCTTCATGAACATGCTGTTTGTGTATTTGCCAAATTTCATGAAGAAATAATGATCCATTCCTCCATAAAAGTGGTTTCCATAAGTCAAGGTAAATCGGTCACGCGGTAATTAACACTTTTCCATAGTAAAGAAACTTATTTTCTTCTCAAAATCAACTGTTTTTCTGTGATACTACTATTAGAGACCTTCTTGCCTGCAATTTTGAACCATCAAGCCTAAACAAATGCCAAATAACCTCTCTATAGCCCCCTTGGATTTTGATACGTGATCAGTTGCTAGGTGTGACGCACTTCTGGAAGATGCATTACTCAGTGTCAGCTTTAATCTGCTTTAATGCAATGAGGCAATGAAGAAGAGTTTTATTGAAAATCGAAAGAATAATTGCTTCTGTAAAGAGATTGATCAGCAGAAAAACAGACCAGAGGATTAGGGCCAAGAAAGCAGTTTACTCTCCCTGCAAAACTGTCAGAATATATCAAGTGAGAAGACACGCCGATGAAATATATATTTTTTACAATAATGTCCTGGAAAATGGAGTATATTTCAAGAACATAATAAATTTTGACAAGAAGCAAGTAATATTAGTCATCACAGCTTAAACAGAAGCAAGAAAAATCAAGTTAGACATACAGTGGCTGTAGTTTGTCAATGAATCCAAGCAGTGAATAAATTGTAATTTGCTGAGCACATCAACAGAACTTGATGCTGAAAAGAGGCGTCAAATTGCGCTCCCACTGTCTCCTACAGTCTTTTTTCTTAGTAACAGAAATGCAGAAATTTTTCTCTAACTTCTGGTAAATAGGTCAATTTTTGAGTAGATTTCCCCTAAAATGCGAAGGAATATTCGACAAAGAAAACTAGATATGCATATTACATCATCTGAACTTACTGTAGAAAGATTTTGAGGGCAAAATAAAATGTTGAAAATTTGCCTGTGCAGATACCTCAAGCTTAAGTAGGTTGCAGAGTAAATTGAGAATCATAGACTGCCTCTGATACAGTACAATAAAAAATCACATCTGGGGGTTGCTAATTCAGTGGTTGTGGTTCAAAGCAATTCAGTGCATGTAATGTCACAGACCATGGAACACACCTAGGCCAAAATGGGGATGGTAATAACATACCTTTAAATGTCTCTCAATCATCAAAGAAAAGTGTTAAGAAACAAAATAATACAATAACAATATTTGATCTAAAATGCACTTAAAAAAATATTTTCTGTGAGTAATCAGCACTCCTGATGACAACTACCCTGAGCTTCTGCAGTCGAACTCTGGGGGAGGGTGCAGGTATCACAATCTTTGCTTAGGGACTTCACGACTTTAAATTACATGGAATCTTGGTTACTACTCACCATTATTATACGCCAAAAGAAACATTTGTAAAATACTCAAAGATCCTCCAGTGAAATCAAGAAGAATGTTACCAATACTCCATCCAACTGTACTTTTACGCCGGTAGTTCATGTATGCCTTTTCAGAAATAAAAACAGTACATGTGGATAAGATAAACTCTTGACAATTCAGTGATAACAGGTATTTACCAGTTCATTTTATTTGTATGAGGGCTATTCATCATGCTGTACATAAAGATCTGTGATCAAAAGGCCTCTAACTTGCATCAAGACACATGTCGAGCTTGAAACAGGGACACAAGGTAGATTTCATGGCAACAAATGTTACAAAATTTTATAAGGAACCTGAGAAATAAAGGTGATCTATTATTTATACTGTGGCCAAAATTTCATCCTTGCTTCAATTTTACTTTCCTTTACTTTTGGGTATGACAATTTATGATATTAACATTGACACAAACTGCATGTGGTTGAACCAACCTGTGGTATGTACTTGATGAGTGTGACACCAATTTTGATGTATGAGAAGTAATACAGATATGTCAACCATGTGATTGTGTGACATAATGTCACAATTAACGCCACTGCTGCAAACATCCATGTGCAAGACAATATTACTTTAGAAACAAGTGATACTTTTTGATCTCCACGCTATAAGAAATGGAAAAAAATATTCACCATCAAGTTTGTGCTCAGTAAAGTAACAATGACCATGATAATAATGACAGTAATAATGACATTGACGATGAAACAAAAAGGAATAGAGACATTTTAAGTAAAAGCTTTCCTTGATACTTTAGAGGAGGAGCAGAGATAACACATTTTCTAATTTTTTGTTGTTTTCGTTATTTTACGCCATCTTCCTTATTGATAGCTTGTACATAATGTAATGGCCTAATCTTTTCTTAATTACAAGCAAAACAGTTCAACTTCAATGATCAATAATGAACTGAAATTTACCTCATAAAATAAACACTGAAGAATAGTAATAAATGTAAGGAGGATAGCATGGATAGTAAAAAATACATCATTGTCTTGGACTGGGTTTACAACTGCATCTGGGTGTTTGGCAAAATATTCATGCTACAAAGAAAAGCAGTAATGTCATCAGTACCTTGGAGAAAACAATCGAACATTTATTACATGAACATAATTTTAATGCAAAATATGTATTAATATGTATATGTATTAATTTTCAAAGCAGCTGTATGAAAAGGAACCTTAAAATTAAAGGTGCATGACTATAACAATCAACTCAGCAGTCCTTACAGTTTTAGAATTGTTGTAGGTTTTTTTGTTCGTTTTTTTGTTTTTGTTTTTTTTTTGTTTTTCGTTTCATATGACGGTGTCTGGTATATGTGGAAATTCCTATAATTAACAGGAATTATCTTAAAAAATAATTTTAAATGAAATAGTATACCTGTATTGAAGGTATCCAGAACATTCCAATATTAAATAAACCATAAGCTATAAATCCTGTGATGTTGTAAGCAAGAAAATCAAAGTTGAGGCCAATTACACTGAAAAAGAAAACATACACAAGTTATTTTCATTAGACTTGGGGATGATAATTATTTTTTGCTAGACATATTTTTGACGATTTGTTCTCCCAAGTTCAAATAATTCTACTCTGCCACTCTTTACTATTGCTTAAAAAGTCATCTGGTCATCACCCAAATAGATTTTCTTGCTGAGCAAGAAAATCTTTAAGCTCTGCACTGGCCTGACATAGAATATGAATCATCTTGTTATACTGATTAGATCATTTAATTAAGAAAAGTAAGGAATAGCACTTAGCAAGCAAAATGTGAGAGCTGCTAACGATTGAAGTTCAAGTTATTTCTCCAATTTACATTATCCACATTTGGCAAAGATCTACCATGCATGAAAACCCTTTTCCATAATAATCTCAACAAATAGTTGACTAATTGGGATTTTTATGAGAAGTCATATACATTTGTACTGGCTCTCTGTTTTGTTACAAAAATGATTATCTACATGTAAAAATAAAATTATTACCTCTGTCTTCTCCAGTTAAGATAAACCTAGAAAAAAAAGTAACATGACAATCAATTCCTCAGAAACTAAATGGTGTTATGATAATGGCATGGAAACAATATGCCAATAAAACTCCCATGTAGGGATGTAAGAAAGAGCTTGCTGCCAGCTAATTTCACAGGCTGAAAGAGCGCTTACTACTGGCTCAAATTGCTCTGGAAGACAAAGACACAGGGAATTTTGAACAAGCAGTTGAATAAAAAGCTGGCTTCACTAACAAAAAAAAAACTGCTTTGATTTTCTTTAGCCATATCTAAGTATCAAGCAAATTCCAACTTCCTACCTGAGGGTAAAATGAAACAGACCATGCAACAAAATAGATCCAGCCAATCACAGCATTGATTATACTTAATGGCCGGTTATTGAAAAGAAATGGGGATCATTTCAGGGTCGGTATCATTCTGGGGTCGATTTGGGGATCATTTTGGGGGCTGTACAGTATTCAATATTGATAAAGGGTTCTCAAAAGAAATTGAAGTAGGCATCTGCCCTGCCTTACATAGGGGGCTGTAAAAAATGGAAAGGCCCAAAAATTCAGGGGGGGAGGGGGGGGGTCTCAGGCATGTTCTTGAAGAATTTTTTTTAATATAGAAGCACTTTTAAAAATGCAATTTTGAGGCCATTTTGGGCATCAACTTCAACTACCACAGAATTCTTTACACACCACATTCTGTCAACTTGTTTAGAAACTTTTATCAGAGGAACAAACTTTCCAAGAAGATTACACTTAGTACAACCTAAGGATTCTGTTAATTTATGAAAACAAGATGGTGTAGTGTATAAGATTCGTTCTTGTGAATTCAGCAAAGTGTACATTGGCAAAATGGGAAGGTGCATTCATGAACAGACTAAGGAGTATGATAGGGATATAGAGCTTTCATGAACTCAAACTTCGGCCACTTCAGAACATGCCAATAAGACCGAGGATTACCTGCTCTCGGACAAAGATAAGTTCATTGACCAAGACCCTTACGGGTACTCTCATAGAGTTAAAGAGGCTATTCACGTAAGACTTCACCCTAACAACATCAACAGGGACAGAGGAATTGAGATTCCTGAAGCATGGATGCCTACAAGCGGACAACGTAACAGCTGATCGCTACCAGAGTGAACTGCAGAGGGATAATACCAACAATGCTTTGGAACAAAACCACCAACCGTGAAGGGCTAGGCCAAAATGATTGTCACATACTGAGATGTTTATGCTGTAGTTAATTTTTTTTCCTCAGGTAATTTTTATTTTTCCTTTGCTTCAACTTCTTTAGTTATAAGCATACATTAATTACAAAAGCCAAAAACAAAAGAAAACCAAAAATTACCTGAGATAAAAATTAAATTAACTACGACATTTACGAGGTTGAAAACATGGCAGTTGTCAAATACAGAAGCACAAGCAAGTTTACTGGTTTGGTCTTGATTGTTTCTATTATTTTGTACATTATAAGACAACAAAAACCCAAAATAAGATAATAGGAATAGCTGGAAGACTTAAGCACAAACAAAAAGGAGAAAAGCAGCAAATAGAATGCAAAGTTAGGCAGCTACAAATTCCAAGAAGGTGGCGATCAGTAGCCAGCTGCCAGCTTCTATTGAGAACCCTGGTGTCCATGTCCCTAATGCGCTTTACATTATGACAAGAAAAAGAGAAAATCTCTAGCATATGTGACATTATACATTAGTATTGTAAACTTTAACTGATACTAAAAAATATTGTTAGAACACATGTAGTTATTCAAATACCTGATATAAGTGTGATCCTTGGATTCATTTCTTTGTATATAACAGGTAATTTTTGCTTTTCCAATTTTTTGCCCTTGGATTTTGACTGATTTCTTTTGATTTAGATGCAACTGAATCTGAAAAAGAAGCAAAACATTATATTTTAAGCATATGTAAATGATGACAAAACAGTGGAACAGTCATCACCCCACACCATCATGACATCTTGTGTGTTCACTGAGCTTACAAAAATTTGTAAAAGTGCAAGTCAAAAGTCTGTTCTTGTCAGCATTATACATGTAGGGTATCTGTTCTGTGAAAGCCCTGTTTTATGAAAGATCTCTGTCATAAGATGGCACTATCATTGGACCATTTTTGTCAGCAAGAAATTGGAACAAGATCTCAAGCCAAAAGAAATAAAGCTGCCAATCATAAAACAACAATGCATTGTTTATACTTTCTCATGGGATCTATACACTTATGCAGATAATGTTGGGTAAACAGCCCGACATCTCTACCAATGCATTGTTGAACATAAGAACTTGGCTATCAGGAAACACCTTGCAGAAGCTCATGGGCAATTAGATAACCCCATAGAGGACCAAAGTGCAAAAGTGTCAAACAAAGTTTGAATGCCAAATTCATGAAATGCTGTTTATAAAAGAGATGACGCCAAGCTTGAACACCCAGGCAGATCCAATTCGTGCAAGACTATTCCTTTGAACTAACATTCCTGACACTTTATATTAGGTTTTGTAATGAAGCTTTGTTTACTTAGTATTAATTCTCTGCAACAGACCCTTATTTTTTGACTTGATAATGATGTTAGTTGAATGTCAAAACATTGTTTTTTAACTTTTTAAACTTTTTTTAATATGAGAACATTTTAGTGCAGTATTTTTTATCTAAATGTCTATCAAAATCGCTTCTTATTAGTTATCTCATTAGATTTTTTTTAATTGATTAAATTTAGTTTTGCAATAAAATTGCAATAATTCAAATAGTAAGACAGACAAAAGTAAAATTACACCAGTACCTGACTATAAAACTAAACAAGAGACTTTCAACAGCAAACAAAGTTTTTTACCTGTTTTGTAACATCAACTACTGAAGGCTTGTTGTTTTTGATAAAAACATCTACAGAAGTATTGGATGACGTCTTGCCACTGCACAAGAAATATAACACTCAAGTTAGTACCATTATTATACAATCCATCTGGTGACTTGGTATCAAAAAGGTATTTTCAAGGTATTGTACAGCCCCTGAAATGACCCCGAAACGATCCCCATTTCTCTTCACGTCGACCCCCCCAATTAATTATTGGAATGAAATGGTATTTTAGCCATGAAATTATTGCAAGTCTGTTGCAGTGTTTACATTCTTGAGTCACATTTAACATTTCACCATGGTTTATGTGATTTCTTAGCACTTTGTTATTAATTTATTTGCCTTTATGTCTACTTTTTTTTACCTTAACATCATTTTAAAATTTTAAAAAGTGTTAACACACCATTTTTAAAATTCATTATCCAAGGGAAGATTATTGGTGAAAATTTAATTAACGTTGTGCATTTTGCTCGATCCATAGTTCTAGGATATCATTCCATTCCTAAAATTAATAGGGGATCAATTTGGCGACAGCGTGAAAAGAAATGGGGATCATTTCAGGGTCGGTATCATTCTGGGGTCGATTTGGGGATCATTTTGGGGGCTGTACAGTATTCAATATTGATAAAGGGTTCTCAAAAGAAATTGAAGTAGGCATCTGCCCTGCCTTACATAGGGGGCTGTAAAAAATGGAAAGGCCCAAAAATTCAGGGGGGGGGGGGGGGGGTCTCAGGCATGTTCTTGAAGAATTTTTTTTAATATAGAAGCACTTTTAAAAATGCAATTTCGAGGCCATTTTGGGCATCAACTTCAACTACCACAGAATTCTTTACACACCACATTCTGTCAACTTGTTTAGAAACTTTTATCAGAGGAACAAACTTTCCAAGAAGATTACACTTAGTACAACCTAAGGATTCTGTTAATTTATGAAAACAAGATGGTGTAGTGTATAAGATTCGTTCTTGTGAATTCAGCAAAGTGTACATTGGCAAAATGGGAAGGTGCATTCATGAACAGACTAAGGAGTATGATAGGGATATAGAGCTTTCATGAACTCAAACTTCGGCCACTTCAGAACATGCCAATAAGACCGAGGATTACCTGCTCTCGGACAAAGATAAGTTCATTGACCAAGACCCTTACGGGTACTCTCATAGAGTTAAAGAGGCTATTCACGTAAGACTTCACCCTAACAACATCAACAGGGACAGAGGAATTGAGATTCCTGAAGCATGGATGCCTACAAGCGGACAACGTAACAGCTGATCGCTACCAGAGTGAACTGCAGAGGGATAATACCAACAATGCTTTGGAACAAAACCACCAACCGTGAAGGGCTAGGCCAAAATGATTGTCACATACTGAGATGTTTATGCTGTAGTTAATTTTTTTTCCTCAGGTAATTTTTATTTTTCCTTTGCTTCAACTTCTTTAGTTATAAGCATACATTAATTACAAAAGCCAAAAACAAAAGAAAACCAAAAATTACCTGAGATAAAAATTAAATTAACTACGACATTTACGAGGTTGAAAACATGGCAGTTGTCAAATACAGAAGCACAAGCAAGTTTACTGGTTTGGTCTTGATTGTTTCTATTATTTTGTACATTATAAGACAACAAAAACCCAAAATAAGATAATAGGAATAGCTGGAAGACTTAAGCACAAACAAAAAGGAGAAAAGCAGCAAATAGAATGCAAAGTTAGGCAGCTACAAATTCCAAGAAGGTGGCGATCAGTAGCCAGCTGCCAGCTTCTATTGAGAACCCTGGTGTCCACAAATTTGACTTACAGCGTACATAAGAAGCTTTTACTGAATGAAGCTAATGGCCCAGCAAATCAATCCAAGCTAACAATACAGTATTGAGACGTACTAGTGACACCCTCTTGCTTGAGTAAACCGGCTTCAAACCTAAAGCGACACTTGGTGACAGGTTGTTTACTTGCGCAACACCAAAACTCTGGAATACACTGCCATTTGAAGTCAGAGACTCCAAGTCTTTAGACATTTTTAAATCAAAGTTAAAAACGCACCTTTCTCTTTAAGCATTTTTATCATAACCTGGAGCTCAATATCATAGTAGCATTAGTATAAGTAGGCAGTATTGGTATAAAAAGTTTTATTATTATTATTATTTTTATTATTTTTTTGTAGTAGTATCAGTTGTTGTATCCAGTTTCCCACTGTGTGATTTTACTGTGAAGCACATTTGAACATTCTATGGAATTTATACAGCACAAATTCAAAATTATTATTATTATTATTATTATTATTAACTGTAAAAACACTACACCTTATAGTTAGTTCAAAATATGCAGACTTGCCAATCTGGACTCTGCTTTCTTTAGACACTAAATGGAGTTTAATATCCTCAGCTGAAACAAATAAACAAAAAACAATCAACAAAAACTGCTGCAATGCAAAATATTAAGCAACAAAACTTCACAGACAGGCATCTGAACTTCAAAAAATACATGGCTTTAACCACAAAAAAAAAAACAAATCACCATAAATTGAACAATATACAATATTA